GGCTAGCAGGGTGCCAAGCTATGTTTTTAGGGTGCCAATGTTTTAGGGTGCCAGGGTTTTAGGGTGCCAGGGTTTCAGGGTGCCAGGTCATGGGGATATCAGGCTGTGGGCCTAGCAGGGTGCCAGGCTATTAGGGTGTCAGTATTTAGGGTGCCGGTGTTTAGGGTGCTGGTGTTTTTAGGGTGCCAGCGTTTTAGGGTCCCAGTGTTTTTAGGATCCCAGATCATTGGGCTATCAGGCTATGGGGCTATCAGGGTGCCAGGCTATTAGGGTGCCAATTTTTAGGGTGCCAGTTTTTAGGGTGCCGGTGTTTTTAGGGTGCCAGGCCATTGGGCTATCAGGGTGCCAGGCTATTAGGGTGCCAATGTTTTAGGGTGCCAATGTTTTAGGGTGCCGGTGTTTTTAGGGTGCCAGGCCATTGGGCTATCAGCCCGCAGATCTCCCAGGCTGCCCGGTGGCCACACGCCACTGCTGGCCATGGCCGTGCCACCCTGCCCGGGCAGCCGGGTGACGCCGCGGGCTGAGCTCACCCACCCTGCATTATTCATGTCCTGCCCGCAGCGGTGCCACCCACCCGGCGGGGACAGCGACACCCGCGACACTGCCACCCCTTGGAGGGGCACAGACCCAGGGCCAGGGGGGGGATTTTCCTATCCAAGGTCATGGAAAAAAAGGGGGTGACCCCCCCCAACACCCCCAAACTGGCTGAGCTTAGGGGGTGACCGCCACCCTCACACGCGTCCCCGTTACCGCGTTGTCCCCGCAGCCCCTCCCGACAGTGCCACCACCGGAGTGGCACCCAGGGCGGTGTTGTCGCCCTCCGGGTCCCCCCCGCTTGTCCCCGTTTGTCGCCGGCGGTGCCGCTCACCTTGGCTCCCGGGCTAAGGTCACCGGAGCTGCGGCGTGGTGGGGACCGCCACTGCCCGGTGTCCCCAAGGGGAGGGGACACGAATTGGGTCACCCGCAGGCAGGAGTCGCTCTGGGTGGCACAGAAGCCACCAGGCCTTGTCACCACCCCCCCCCCTCCCCGCCACCGCGGGGACCCCAATTAGGGGATGTCACCCGGCCCAGCGCCACGCGGAGGGAGGGGACCCCAGCGACAAAGTGGGGACAGCGACACAAAGGCTGAGAGCTGCGCCACCCCCCTGTCGTGATAGGGGTGGGGGGGGCAAAACCACCTTGGTGTGGTGGGGGTGACACTGGGGGTGACACTGGGGGTGACACCGGTAAGTGGGGACTGGACCCCATCCCGGGGGGGGGATCGGAGCTGGCCGGGATAGGGGAGGGGGCGACGCAAAATCAGACACCCCCCCCCCCCCTCAAGAAACGAGACCCCCACGGAGAGAGAGTGGGGGGGAGAGGTTCGGAGCTGTCCCGGTACCGGGGGGATGCTCAGAGCTCCACCGGCACCCCCGAACCGGAACCCGAGCCCGAACCCGCCCCGGTGATCCCGGTGATCCCGGGGAGCCGCATCCGCATCGAGCCGCATCCCGGCCCCCCCCACCACAACACTCCCCGTACCCCCCCCTCCACTTCCCGCATTTCCTCCGGTTCCTCCCGGTCCCCTCCGGTTCCTCCTGTTTCCCCCTCATTTCCTCCTGGTTCCCCCTGTTTCCCGGTTCTCCCGGTTCGTCCCGGTTTTCCCGGTTCCCTCCTATTCTCCCCGGTCCCTCCCTGTCTCTCTCGGTCCCTCCCGGTTCCCTCCTATCCTCTCCGGTTCCTCCCAGTCCTCCCGGTTTCCCCCGGTGCCTCCCGGTTCCCCCTGATTTTCTCCGGTTCCTCCCGTTCCTGCCGGTTTCTCCTCGGTTCCCCCCGGTCCCCTCCGGTTC